AAAGAAAGAAAGAAAGAAAGAAAGAAAGAAAGAAAGAAAGAAAGAAACCCTTTTAGTACTCCTTGCTAGAAAATCTACTTCCTTTTTGGTCTAGCAGCAAGGTAACTAGGCTACATTCAGATTAAACAAGATACTTAAGCGCACACTTGAAATGTCCCAGAGCTCAGGCTTTTCATTTAGCTGACCTGTAGGTGCAGTGATGAGGTCTATCTGTGACTCAGAATTTGCTTTCTCTGGTCAGGGGACAGTTGCTGAGCTTCCCCAAGGACACCTTATGAATTTGCTCATTGCTTCTCTTATAGGAGTTTTAAAACCTGCCCCTTGGTCTAGAGCTGGGACGGGAATCTAGTCCAGTGGTCTTGACAGAAAATGGGGACCTGAAATAGCAGAAGCTTGGTGTGGCCATTGTGGTCCAGCAGAGCATGTGCTCAGGGGTTTCTCCACTGTGGTGAGGCTTGATGCATATTCTGACCAGTACCCTGAACCAATCTGCAAAGTACAGCGACACCTACCTACATTTATACTGGTGGCCACCAGGTACAGGTCTGCTATCAGTTTAAACCTTTCTGCCTTAAAAGTTTATTTAATCTTTAAAAAAAATAATAACAGTCTCACACCAATATTTTGGCCAAACAACCTATTCCATATGGCTGTTGAAATAGGTGGCTTTCGGTGTAGGTTTGCGAACACAGACCTTCCTACCTCCATCCTGCGTTGCAGTATCCTGTCATTTTCACACTGAGCAAGGGAATGTAGCAGACACCAGTGTGTAACTATGGCTGCCGCATAGCATATCTGTTAAACATGCCTTGTCTTTTTCCTTCCTGTTTTTCTGTGATGTACTCTATTGGGCAAGCAAAGATGTGCGTACATTGACCAGAGTAGGCACATGAATACAGTGAGCTGGTGGTAGTTTGGCTCTTGGGGAAACTGAATCCTGTGAAGGAGCAGCCAGCCCTCAGGAGGCGAGGTGATACCAAAGGCATGACAGTTCTCGGGATAAGCTGCACATTCTCTCCTGACTTAGAAGTAAATGGATCTAGGAACACCTTAGTGTTCCTAGTAAGATGCTGACAACACCACCAAGACACATAAAGGAAGTGACATTTTTATCCTCAGTACATTACCTGCATAAGTATGTATGTGTGTGTGTGTTTGTCCAGTTAAAAGAAAACGTTTCTGTTTGCTCTAAATGCAGTAGTTGAGAAAATGGAAAGGAGGGAAATGAGAGCATGTAGTTCTCAGCTTTAACTGGCATAAAAACACCTGCTTCCTTCAGAAAGAGCCAGTATGCTTGTGCATCCATCACTGCTCTTTCACTTTATCCTTAGTAGAGAGCCTCTTGTTTTTAGTGGTTCTTGCTCCTGACAAAGAAGTCAATCCAGATTGTGAGGCTGCTGTGTACTGGCCCTGCTGACCCAGCCAGGTCCAGGGTTTACCCCTGCACAGTGCTGCCTTTGTACCAAGCATGTCTGTATATAGGAGTGCTGTTTTCATTGATTTTTTTTTTTTTATGAGACAAGCTAAACAATTACTAAAAAGAAATACTACATTCACTTTTTGTGTTTTCTGGATAGCAGGCCTGTTTTCTGGGAAGAGCCATTTGCATTCAGGAAGTAGGTCCTATTTGTGGTATGAATTCCCACCTGACAATGCCTTGCACACGACATAAAAATACCAAAGTGATTAAAGTTCTGTCTGTCTGTCTGTCTGAAATAACTGAGTACTGTGGAATTTGTGTTGGGAAGTAAATCCATCTTCCACTTACACATTGTTAGCAGCTGAGAACCTCAAGAGGCCTGTGTACAGTTTCAGCCTGATAGTGCATTTACATTTCTGCCACTAAACATTAGGGAGGAGCACTCGGACACATTTATGTTAGCTATGTTAGGCTTTCTGTATAATGATAAGAATAAACCTTTACCAGATATGTAAAACTTGTGTGTCTGTGGTTAGTAACAAAGAATATAATCTCACTTAAATTTTTGTTATACTTTACTACAGTGTGAAAGGAATGCACACTTGACAAGTCCGTGTTCCTGGGTTTTGTGTGTGTGTGGTACGTACACATGAGTATGTAGGTGTGAATGCCCAGGTATGCTTACGGAAGCTGGAGAAGGATGCTGACTGTCCTGATAATAGAGCCCTCCTCCGCAGTCCTTCAAGACAGGGTCTCTCACTGAAAGTAAGGTGAAGGGATCGTCTTGTGTAACCACTTCAGCTCTGGGATGACGGGTGTCTGTTGCCATGTCTGCCATTTTACACGACTAATAGGGAATTGAACTTAGAGCCTCATGCTTGCACAGCAAATACTTGTACCAATTGAGCTATGTCTATGCCCTCAGTGTTTTAATTTGTTTTTATGGGCTGACATGCAGTGCATTGTTTGGCAGTAGGGAGCTACAGTTACTGGCCTGCCACATTTTCTGTGTTGTTTATTAAATAAAATTTGAAGGGTCTTTGTGTTCATCCATTAATGTCAGTGACAGTTGAGCCTGGATGTCAACAGCAATAGACTGAAACGTGTCCTGATATAAACTTGAAATCAGCCATGTGCTAGGTGAACGTCCAGTGACAGTGCCCACTGTGGATAGCCAGCAGGGGGAGCCTTCTACTCATGGCCAGTGTTTTGCGGTAAGTGGGCTGTCTTTTGCTCAGAGCGAGGCTGCTGTAGTGAAAGAATGCATGAGTCCGAACGACCATGTGTTTTTTATGACCTGCATGAGCTACCAACACCTGCTGTGTGGCCACCACAGTTATTTGGGAGCTTACCTTATCTCTCCATGCACATGGGACTGACAGCCAGCCGAGTAAGTAACCTGGCACATCGTTTATAGTCTGCAGTGGAAACAAACCATGGGCCCTTGTCAGTTGCCTGCACATTAAAATTAAACAGACTGCTTTTGGCTTTTTTTTT